TGACTGATTTGACTAAAAAACTATTTTATCTAAGAAAAACATATGTATGCCTGTTCTCTTTGGGTTACTATTTTCATAAAATATCTTTTTCCATCTTTCCACTTTCAGCCTGCATGTGTCTGTAAAGCTAAAATGAGTCTCTTACAGATAGCATATTGTTGAATCTTTTTTCTTAAATCCATTCAGCTACTTTGTATCTTTTGATTGTAGAGTTAGTCCATTTATATTAGTAATTATTGATAGGTAAATACTGGGTTGGCCAAAAATTTCATTTGTTTTTTTTTTTATAAGATGGCTGTAGTAGCACTTAGTTGTTTTTAACTTCATTCAAAACAATTTTGTTAGATCATATTGTGACAGCTGTCATATCAGTGTGCATTTAAAAAATCAAAATTGGTGAATTTTTATGTAGTCATTTTAATATTGGAAGAAAATATACAACATTTTTGGCATATTATGCTTTATTATTTTAAGAAAGGTAAAACACAACTGAGAAGCAAAAAAAGATTTCTGTAATGTATGGAGAAGGTGCTGTTACTAGTGTATAAAAAATGGTTTGTGTCAATGTGTCAAAAGTAGTTTGCAAAATTTTGTGCTGGAGATTTCTTGCTAGATGATGCTCCGTTGTTAGGTAGACCAGTTGAAGTTGATAGCATTCAAATTGATTCATTAGTTGAGAATAATCAATGTTCTATCACACAGGAGATAGCTGACATATTCAAAATATCCAAATCAATAAAGTTATTGGTGAAAATGAAAAATATCTTTTACTTTACGGAAAAAACTAAATGGACGTTTTAGCTAACCCAGTACTTACTATTGCCACTTCCTTGTTTTCTTTTTTTTTTAAATTTATTGAGTTATTTTTCAAGTACAGTTTTCTTTTGTCAATTTCTCCCATCCCAACCCCCCCTCCGCCCCGTCTCCCCACCTCCCTCCCATCCCCCCCTCCCCACAGACCTCATCCCTGTGTCTTGCATACTTGTTCTTCAAAATCCCTCCTCGTTTTCCCCCTTAAATTCCCTTCCCTCTCCCCTCTGGTCGCTGCCCACTTGTTCTCTATTTTAGTGTCTTTGTTTTTATTCTATTTGCTTGTTTATTTTGTTATTTAGCTTCCTGTTAAAGGTGAGATCATATGGTATTTGTCCTTCAATGCCTGGCCTATTTTTGTTTTCTAAAAGTTTTAATTTCTTTGTTTCTTTCTTTTTCTCTTATTGTCTTCATTTGTGATTTATGTTTTGTTTATGTTGTTTGTGTGTTTTAATTGCTTTCTCTTTATCTTTTATTTAACTCCTGTTGATTTTTTTCTTTGTGGTTACCATGAGGCTTATGTAAAACTTGTAATAGACAAAACAGTCTAGTTTAAACTACTGACAACTTACTTCTGATCACATAAAAACAACACTTTTGCTTCTCCTCCTCCAACATTGTATGGTATTTTTGTCACACTTTACATGTTTTTATATTGTACCTCCATTAACAAGTTATTGTTGCTATGGTTGTTTTTAATATTATCTTTACCTTTTATAATAGAGGTAAAAATAATTTATATGCCACCATTATGATATTCTAAGTTCAACTATTTATTTACTTTTACCAGTGAGTTTTATGTTATTGGCTTGGCCAAAATGTTTATTTGTTTTTTTCCTGTAAGATGGCTGTAGTAGCACTCAGCTGTTTTTGATTGCATTCAAACAATTTTATTAGATTTTATTGTGACAGCTATCACATCATTGTGTATTTTTTTAAAAAACTTATCAAAATGGGTGCATTTTTGTGTAGCCATTTTAATATTGAAGATGGAAGAAAATAAGCAACATTTTTAGCATATTATGCTTTTTTATTTCAAGAAAGGGAAAATGCAACTGAAATGCAAGCTAAGATTTGTGCTGTTTATGGAGAAGGTGGTATGACTAATCAAATGTGTCAAAAGTGGTTTGTGAGATTTTGTGCTGGAGATTTCTTGCTGTATGATACTCCATGGTCATGCAGATGAGTTGAAGTTGATGGAGATCAAATTGAGATGTTAATTGAGAGCAATCAACAATATACCACACAAGCAATAGCCAACATACTCAAAGTATCCAAATTAATATTGGTGAAAATGAAAAATGTATTTTTTATTTTATGGGACAAACCATATGAAATTTTTGACCAACACAGTGTTATGTGTTTATGTCATTACATAACATCCTTCCATTTCAATATGAAGAACTTCCTTTAGCATTTCTTATAATGGCAGGTTTAGTGGTAATGAACTTCCTCAACTTTTGTTTGTCTCAAGGTCTTTATCTTTCATTTGTTAAGGACAGTTTTGCTGCGTATAGTATTTTTGGTTGGCAGTTTTTTTTCTTTCACCACTTTGAATATATCAGCACACTGCATCCTGGTCTGCAATGTTTCTGCAGAAAAATCCATTTATAAGCTAATGGAAATTACTTTGTATGTGACAAGTTGTTTTTCTCTTGCTGCTTTGAAAATTCTCCTCTTGTCTTTGATCTTTAACATTTTGATTATAATGTGTATTTGGGTGTCCTTTTCTCTCCCAATATTTGAGAAGTTTTTCACTATTATATCTTTAAATAAATTTTCTGCCCCCTTTTCTCTTCTTCTGAAACTCTCACAATAAAATATTTGTTTGCCTAATGGTATGCCACAACTCCCTTAGGCTTTCTTTACTAGTTTGTTTTCTTTTTCTTTCTCTGGCTAATTTCAAGTCTTTGAGTTTGCTGATTCTTTCTTCTGCATTATTAGGGCTGTGGTTGAAACTCTCTATTGGGTTTTCTGTTCTGTCATTGTATTCTTCAGCTCTTGGATTTCTATTGGGTTCTATTTTGTTGTTTCTATTTCTTTGTTAAATGCAATTTTTGATGAATTATTATCCTGATTTTATTTATTTGTCTGTCTGCTTTCTCTTGCATTTTGTTTTCATTAAATAATTGTTTTAAATTTCTTGTTCAAGGCAAATCATAGAACCGTGTTTCTTTGGAGTCACTTACCAGAGCTATTTTAGTTTCCATTGGTGGTATCGTATTTCTTTCTGACCCATATAGCCTTGCATTGGTGCCTGCGCATTTGTTAGAGCAAACACTTCCTCTAGTTGTTACAAACTGATTTCAGAATATGAAGACCTTCTTATGTTTGTTTCACTGGACTGATAAGATTACCTGTAGAATGCAGTTGTGCTGGGTTGGAGCTAGTTATGAGGCTGTTGCTTGGTCTGTAATGGGGTCTGTTGTTTGTGAGCTCATCCTCAGGGCACAGGCTGGTGTGAATTCCTTCTGTTCTTGGGTGGGTGTGACTGCCTCTAGTACCTTGTTCTACTAGGCTGCCATTTGTACAAGGGTCCATATTTGGGTCCTCAGGGAATGGATTTCCAGGCAAATTGTGGGTATAGCATCCATCAGGTTCCTGGGAAAACTGCTGGCTGGTCACTGGATAAGTCCCTGGGTGGGCAGGACTGACTCTGAACAGTGGCTGTCAGGGCTCTTTCAGATTCCACAACCAAGAGTAAGGTTTGTAGACTTGGCTTTACAAATAGATGGGCATGTCTCCTACTGGGTTACTGGATGGACAGGATTGGTCCCTGACCATGGATAGAGGGGTTGGAATGGCTTATAGGGTTCTTGCAGGATCTCCTGAGGTTCAGTCATTCTCCTGCCAGGTCCCTGTGCTGGTAGAACTGCTTGTGGATTATAGCTTGGAGGGGCTGAAACCAAGTATAGAGTCCTTCCGAGTATAGAGGATCTCTGGGAATGCAGACAGGAGTGTTTCCTGCTGATTCTCTGTGGCAGCAGGACTATTCACAAACTGCAGTTAGGTGGGTCTGAAACTAAGTATAGGGCCATCTTAGAGTCTCCAGGTTTTCAGACAGAAGTGTTTCCCACAGGAAGTTTGGATGATCAGTACTGCTGACTGACTAGGGCTGTGAGGTGGCTGGGGCTGTGTATAAGGAGGGCCTTTCTAGTTTCTCCAGGGGTACAGATGAGAGTGTTTTTTGCTTGGTATCCCATGCAAGTAGGCTTGCTCATGGACTGGCTAGAAGGGGCCTAGAGTAAAGTATAGGATTCATTTAGGATCTTCAGATGGGAATGTCTGCTTCTGGTACCCTGGACCCTCAAGTCTTCTGGAAGAGTGGCAAACTGTGGCTATGAGAAAGCTGGAACCAAGTATAGGACCCTTTCAGGATTTCAGGGCATGAAATTTATGTTTGGCACCTGTGTCAGAAGGTCTTCTTGGCATAGCAGCTCAGTATAGACTGAGAGAGAGGGCTGCCTACTATAGGCCCCTTTCAGGATCTGTGGGGGTACAGACAAGAGTGTCCATGTACCAGTAAGGCTGTTTATGAAATATGGGTGGGATGGGCTGGAGCTGAGTTACAAGGCCATTTCAGAATCTATAATCTGATCAGATTTGGCAGTCTTACCTCCAGGAGCTTCTGGAATGCAACTGAGAGGGGCTAGAACTGGCTCAAAGGCCACTTCTGAGTCCACAACCAAGACCAAGGTCTCTATGCCTATTACCCGATTCATGTGTGGGCTTGCCTCTTATGGGTCCCTTGATGGCATTTGCTGGTGACAAATGCAAATCCAAAAAGAGCTGTAGCCAAGTTCTCAGGGTTACAGAGCTATTTCCATAGCAGCCACCTGGGTGTGAGCCTGCCTTCTCAAAATGGCTTTATTCATTCTGGGACTGCACCAGGGTTTGACAGTCTCCTACTTGAATCTGGAAGTGCCCATGAAGACCATTTTGTCTGTGTGCAGATGCCAAATTATTTTTGCTAAAGGGGAATACAGGCAAGGGACATCTTATGTGGACATTTTGCTGATATGCTGTGCTATATAATGCACTTTGCATCAACAAAGACTAAGATTTTTCAACTCTTTATTTACAAAAATTAGGATAAATAAAAAGCAAAACATCAGCTATTAAGTTTATTTTTACTCATTAATATTAGATCTAATTAAAATGTTAGAATCCTTGACTTTTATTCATATTAGACTCGGGAGACCTGGAGTTGATTGTTATTGCCAGCATGAAAGTGGTGCAGCTGTTCTGCAGCTCCAGTTCTTAATCAATGAGGTAAGGATTTCCTTGAGTATTTATCACACACATAGTGCATTCATTGATGTAATATTTTTTATATTTTGATTCTAAATGCTTAAATATATATATGTGTGTGTGCAGTATTGTTCATGGTCAAATTTTTCATAAAAGTCTATACTCCAGTATTTGTCAATTTATTAAATTTCAAAAGAAACAGTGGCATGTCTTAGAAAATTCTGTTATTGTGATTGTGTAGAATAAGTTAGATTATTTAAATATTTCTTAAATATTACTAAAATTCTTTGATTGCTTTACTAACCATAAAACTTTTCTTCTATGTACTCTCCTCCCACCAACTTAAATTTTATAATTCAGCACTAATCTAATGTTTTGTCTTTATCTTCCACAAAATAATCTTTTCATTTATTTACTTATAGGCTCTTTGATTTCTGTATATCTCCATATGCATTTGTTGGTATATGTATGAATTTGTATTTATTTATGTATCCATAGCTATTATGACAATTAGCTACCTACCCTATCCCTATCTTTATAAACCTTTGGTGGTTAGGAACTCCCTAAAGACAAAATATGTATTTACAAAGCTCAGAAAGGTTGATAATATTCCATCAGTTGAGAGCTACTTAAGGCCATCTTGACTCAGATTTTTTTTTGGAGTGGGAAGATGTTTTATTTGGTTTGAATGGCCATTTCATAGATCTTCATAAAAATGTTTAAAAAATTTTCAGTTACACTTGAGATGCAATATATTACTTTCAGGTATACAATATAGTGATCAAACATTTCTATAACTTACAAAGTGATCACCCCAATAAGTCTAGTACCCACCTGACACCATACATAGTTATTGTAATGTTATTGACTATATTTCCTACATTGTACTTCACATTCCTGTGAATGTTTTTCTAACTGGCAATTTGTACATCTTAATCCTTTCCCCCTTTTCACCTATAATCTCAACCCTCCCATCTAGCAACCATCAAACTGTTCTGTGTCTCTATAAGGTTTTTTTGTTCATTTATTTTGTTTTTTAGATTTAACATATAAATAAAATCATATGGTATTTCTTTTTTATGTCTGACTTATTTCATTTAGCATAATACCCTCTAGGTCCATTCATGTTACTGTAAATGGCAACATTTCAATTTTATAGCCAAGTAATATTCCATTGTATATATGCACCACCTCTTGATCCATTCATCTATCAATGGACACTTAGGCTGCTTGGATAGGTTGGCTATTATAAAGAATGCTGGAATGAACATAGGGGTCCATATGTCTTTTTGAATTTCTTTGGATAAATACCCAAAAGTGGAATAGCCGGATTGTATGGTAGTTCTATTTTTAATTTTTTTAGGAAACGTCATACTGTTTTCCATAGTGACTTTACCAATTTACAATCACCAACAGTGCACAAGGCCTTTTTCCCACATCATTCTCAACACTTATTGTTTGTAGATTTATTGATAGCCATTCTGACAGGTGTCTCAGAGTGTTTTTAATTTGCATTTCCCTGATGACTAGTGATGTTGAGTATCTTTTAATACATCTGTTGGCCATCTATATGCTTTCATTGAAGTAATATCTATGCAGGTCCTTTGCCCATTTTAAAACAAGTCTTTTGGTGTTAAATTGTATGAGTTTCTTATATATTTTGGATATAAACCCCTTATCAGATGTATCATTAACAAATACCTTCTTGCATTCAGTAGATTGTCATTTTACTGATGGTTTCCTTAGCCATGCAAAAGCTATTTAGTTTGATGTAGTTTCACTTGTTCATTTACTTTTTTTGTTTCCCTTGTCCAAAGAGACATATCCAAAAAAATATTACTAAGAGTGATATCTGAGAGTTTATTGCCTGTGTTTTCTTCTAGGAGTTTTATGATTTGGGGTCTTATGTATAAGACTTTAATACGTTTTGAGTTTATTCTTTTTTAAAAAGATTTTATTTATTTATCTTTAGAGGGGAAGGGAAGGAGAGAGGGAGAGAAACATCAATGCCTCCCGTGTGTTCCCTGCTGGGAACTGGCCTGCAACCCAGGCATGTGCCCTGACTGGGAATCGAACCCTGATGCTCTGGTTCACAGGCCCACACTCAATCCACTGAGCTACACCAGCCAGGGCTTGAGTTTATTCTTTCATATGGTGTAAGAAAGTGACCCAGTTTCATTTCCTTGCATCTCTCTGTCCAGTTTTTCCAACACTGTTTTTGGAAGGAGACTATTTTTACACCATTGTAATATCTTGCCTCTTTTGTCATAGATTAATTAAGTGTATAGGCCTGAATTTATTTCTGGGTTCTCTATTCTGCTCCATTGATCTATGTTGGTGCCATGCTGTTTTGATTACTATAGTCTTTTAGTGTAATTTTATATCAGGTAGCTTGATTCCTCCAACTTTGTTCTTCTCAAGGTTGCTTTGGCTGTTTGGAGTTTTTTTGTGGTTCCATATAAATTTTAGGACTATTTGTTCTAGCTCTGTGAAAAATGACATTGGTACTTTGATAAGGATTGGATTGAATCTACAGATTGCTTTGGGTAGTATTGACATTTTAACTATTTTAATTCTTCCTAACTATGAGTATGGTTCATGTTTCCACTTATTTGTATGTTTTTAAATTTCTTTCTTCAGTATCTCACAGTTTTTCAAATGCAGTCTTTTACCTCCTTGGTTAATTTATTCCTAGGGTTTTTTTAATGCAATTATAAATGGGACTGTTTCTTTAAAATATCTCTTTCTGATAGGTCTTGTCTCAAATTTGTACAGTGGTTCCTTGAGTCTTCTGGAGATCTTTTATGTTAAATGAGCCAGTCAATGCAAAAATGCTTTCAGTCTATGCCATATCAAATCTTCTAAGGCACATAGCAGATTGAACTCAGTGTCTGGAGAAAGACACTGAGGTACTACTGCTTGCTCTCTTGTGACATGGACAATGATTTTTAATTCAGTGTCTTTATATATTTGTGTATGTACCTCTTTCTAAGCATTCATAATCAATCATAAACATGAATACAGTGGTTCGTGGAACTTCATATCAGAGGCATCTGAGTCATTAAGAATTTGTGATATTGGCAGATGTCCACTTTTTACTTCTCTTGGCTCAAAATCTTCCTCATAAGGTTGTGAGATTTTCCTTATTGACAAACCTAGCATATTTCACTTTATAGACATGCTTGCTGTTGGATACCAAAATGAGAGAGGGAGATGAGGAAGAAAAGGGAAAACTTAAAAATATATTTTGTTATAATAGCTAGTCATTAGTATTTATAATGACAGCCTTTTTAAAGTCTCAGTGTTACTAGTTGAGAGAGCTTAGCCTTTTGCTTTCTGCATGGATGTATACTGGCAGACATAAATTGTTTCCCAGTATTTCTCCTGGGTACGATTTTCTGAGAATTGTCTTCAAGGCCCTATGGTTTCCTCTGTGCTACATAACTGAGAATATATAAAGACAAGCCTTTGATATCTTTCCATTGTTTACACTGTTTATCCTAAAGCACTTACCTTGATCTACTTCATATTCAATTTGTGTACTTTTTTCCCCAAATCCCTAGTTTTTGACCTTATGACTGGTGTTTTTGAACAGTTTTTAATATTTTCATAGATCTTTTTTAGTAGTGCTTCTTATAGATTCCCTTTGCTTGTAAATGAGCCCTAGGCACACTGATGATGTGCTTACTATTATGTGTCCTGTCTCTCTCTTCATGCTGTTATTCTCAGAGATACTATTCATTTCCCTTCAATAAGTTACCTTTTAGTTTTTTATACAATTAGTAATACTGACTTCCTCCTTAGACTTACTTAGTTGTTACATTAAATATTGTTGATATATGTTGCTTTAATTCTATTGGGTTTGGCATATTATGTCTTTTGTGTAGCACATAACTTATTTACTGTGGAGAATTTTTTATTAGTTTCCTATATTACATTTTATATTCACCCTATCCCAAGTGAATTTCCACTTTCTTGAGAAATGATATCAGTATTGTATATCTCAAAAAAATTGTAGCTCCTTAAGCACATATAAGCAATCCAAATAATTTTAGTTTGTATATATGGAACATTTTTACAAATAAAACAAGCAAACAAGCAAAAATCCTTGAGGCAAGTATAGGGTACATTTTATTGGAATGTAATTACCTGAGTTCATGTTTAAGTGTGTATATCAGTGTACCTCTTTGAACATGTGTATTTATACATTTCTGTACAAATATAAAAATTATACAAATGTTTTAACATTTTAATGGATATGCTATGATTATGACTGGTGTTTTAAAAGTTCTCCTTGAGACTGTAATCACAGGTACCATCATAGGATGCATGAGTATTTTTGTCTTAGGAATTGTTTTGGAAGGGCATTTAGATTCCTATCTTCTTCTCTAATTCTTAAAGAAGAAATGAGTTTTAGAAATTTCAATATAGTTCTTCCTAGCATCTAAATGGGATTATGATTTTGATATCTGTAATTGATATCTATAAACTAAGAAAGGTTACTTGTCACAGAGTACTTTGGTAAAATATGAAAACAATATTAAGTATCTCAGGATCACATGATTCTGCAAGATCACTTTTAAAAGACACATTTCAGTACTCTAGAGTAATCTCAGGCTCTGTCACAGGGAAAGCACTGACACATTTAGCGGGGAAACTCATGATTGTAAAAGTTCTGACATTGTTTAAGATGATGTTACTGAACTCAGTGAAATAAATAATTTAAGTGTGCTTGTGTGTATCATACATGGCAACTAGTTTTCTGACCATATGGTGTCTGCCATATTAAGAGGTAGAAAGCATTGTATTTGAAATAGGATTTATTTGTATTTGGAGATGTTGTATAAACATAATCAAAAGAATATTTTTGAAGTTACACTGAGTTCTATTTGGAGAAATGTCTTCTTTTATTATAGATGGTTCTTTTATCAGAGTTGAAGTTTCTTGAACTATAAAAACAAATTAAGCTATACCAAGTATACTTTTTTAGGAATAATATATAATTCCCAACTGTAGTGTATAGAAAAAATTATTACAAATGGAGAATTTTTATGTTACTAGATTGAATTTTAAAACTAGGTTGGATTTTTGCTTCTCTGCAAAGCTATATATAGTGTAGGTGTCAATGGTAGAAACAAAAAAATTAAACTAAGTTTTCCCCAAAGACAATAGAAACAAATTCTTAATAGTCACAATGATGTTTACAGTAATTTTCCTCTATATTAGTATATGCATATTTCCTGAGGTAGTCGTCCTGACCAACCCCTCTGCTGTAGTTTCCTTGCTTCTTCCACTTCAGTTTTCTTGGGCTTCCTGATTGGAGTATATGCAGTTGACCTTCCATGTATTTCTAGGTATATAGATTCAAATAATTCTTTAAGCAGTGAAAAATTCAGTAAATTAGCTTGTTGTTTTTGCTTCACGATGAGCTCTAGATTAAATAAATCACTTGCTAAATTTGTTGTCTTTTTGTTCCAGGGCGCTTTGGTCAGTGCAGGTTCAGATGATACACTTCATTTGTGGAACCTTAGGCAAAAAAGGCCAGCTATTCTTCATTCTCTTAAATTTAATCGAGAACGGTAAGAATTTATAAGTTAAACCATTTACTAAGGTACAATAAAATTACTTCTTGAGCCAGTTATAGGTTAACTTATAGAATATTTTTTCCCATAATCTTAGTAGCTGGTGGAAATAATGTAATGTTTATGGTTGCTTTTAGAGTAATTAATTTTCATAGAAAACTCATAATTGATATAGATTTAGTCATCATCTGCTAATAAAAAGCTTCTAACATTTCTCTCCCCCTTGCTATAAACCAGCACTTCAGCAATGATGTATTCTTTTCCCTAAGCAGGGTGCTGCAAACCCTGACCTAAAATCTGAGGGAAGTAAATAGTAAACATATTTTTATACCTTTGATCATGGCAGTTAGTTCCTACACTTTCATCTTTTGCCTAAATATTTTTAACATTAAAAAAATTCTGAGACTCAAGTTTTAGATATCAAAAAATGTTGGTGCTAACTGGTGAGCAATACAGCATATTCAAGGTTCATGTTTAAGATGGCAATTTGATCAAAATTTCTATTCCCCATTTTAGAATGAAATATTAATAGTCAGAAAGAGAAAATTATATGAATGGATATAAAATGTTATGAGATTTTATGTGTAACAAGTTGTACCAAATTTTAATGTTTCTAATATTAAATTCAACCAGGCCTGGAACATAACACACACCCACTTAACTAATAATATACTTCGGAGTAAAATTATATTTTATTGTCTGTCTTTGTACTTTAACTATAAAACATTCTAATATTTGTTTATTATTTAGAGAGCAGTCATACAATTTGCAGTAAATGGGAAGGGTCATCACAGGAAAACTTGGTATTCGTAAAAGAAAAAGAAACCTCTGAGAAGTAAATTTACACAGATTAGTTAGCACTGTTCAAACTGATGTAGGTGAATAATAGAGGCAGGCAGCCATTTCTGAGAGCTCAAGACAGTATTAATTTTATTGAATGGTCATAGTTCATAAGGAGTTATCACTATAGGCAGCGCTCAATTGAGTAAAGCTGTTTTTTGTAGGAATAGTGAGAAAAAAAGGATGGCAGCTATCCAAATAGTCTTTTCTGAAGCTTTTTCCTTTTCTTCTCATATACATACTATACTATTTAAATATTAACCCTCAATATTTTGAGTAGTATTCATGAATATTACGTGTTCAGTATTTTAGCATTCAGCATCAATGGAAATTTTTATTGTGTCCAGTATCTTTTTAAAAATATTTTTTTATTTATCTATTTTTTAGAGAGAGGGAAAGGGAGAGAGAAAGGGAGGCATCAATGTGTGGTTGCCTCTTGCATTCCCCCTACTGGGGATCTGGTCTGCAATCCAGTATTGTGCCCTGACTGGGAATCGAACCAGCAACCTTTTGATTTGCAGGCTGGCACTCAATCCACTGAGCTACATCAGCCAGGGCCAATATCTTTTCAGATGAAAATATTCATATTTTAGATATTTGCTAAAATTAGATAGATTCTTTCTTTCTTTCTTCTTCTTTTCTTTCTATTTTTCCTGTTTACTTCATGTATTTGTGTTTTTATTGCCATGATATTACTAGTTTAAGATGGTGGTTCTGTCGGCAAAGTAATTAAAATGTTTAACCCACTTGTTACAGCCCCTACTGAGTTCTTGGCTATGCTCACTTGTTAATTTTTTTAAAAGAATGGAATCCATTCCTTGTTTCACATGTTATTTTCTCTTGCTGATTATTATTTCACCAAGGTATCCTTCTCACTTTCATTCAACTACTATAGGGTTTCTCCTGCATGCATCAAGTTATTTGCTTCTAATTATACTTGCTTACCTAGATGCCTTTTGTTTCCTCCTACACCATAGATATTCTTTTGGATCATTATTTCTCACCCACAAATAAACACAGACTCTTTATATTTAAGGGATCTATAAAAAAAGAAGAGCAAGAAATGTGGAATGAGAAGAATCCTTTAGTTTAGATCTAATTTTGGTTATTTATAAACTTTAAAACAAGTAATATAACAGAAGTTTTAGGATATTAAAATTAAAGGTCAGTCAAGAGATGTTATACTATTTCTGTTTCTTTACACTGAATATATTATATACTCAGATATTGCCATCCTAATATTTTGTTTGTTTAAATGGTTTGAATATTTTGGTCATACACTTTTGTATAGATGGATAGAATAGGTTATTTTTCCCTCACAATTGGAATATTGAAGGAAATGTTCTAGCCCTCTTTATGGCCCATTTGAGGGGAAGGAATGATTGGTGGTGATGGCCAATACTAATTTTATTTTCTCAGTTGAGGTGGATTTAATTGGAAGCAACATAAAAATGTAAACTGACAGATTTGGGGCAAGTTTAAATTATGGGAACCTTACAAGCATTGCCTATATCAATGCTTACACAAATGTGATATATACCTTTTTTTCCCCACAGTATTTATATATATATATTTGAGTGAATAATGGGGAGGTATTGATGAACCTGTAAGGTCTATGAGCAGGAGGATAATGAAACTATCAATGTCCGTGGTTGCAAAAACACTTGAAGGGAGAAACTGGGGAACAGGCAGATTAGCACTCTGGGTAATGGAAGGCAGGGGAACTCCTCTACCCCACTGGCCCTCCACTTTTGCCTTGGGGTCCCTGCCCCTTTCTCCAGTTGACCTGGTGCCCCAGAAGGAAGATTTGATTCCCACCTCTTGCAATCCTCTCACTCCCAGCAGGTGCAGGCAAGGGAACTCCAGGTAAAGCGCCCACTGCAGGCAACCATTCCAGAGGGCCCACCCAATCTTGGGGGCTGCAGCAGACAGAGGTCCTGGGACTTAGGAGTCTGCTCGCCCTCCAGTTTTCAACTCATCCCTGGGGCTAAGCTCCCTGCCACCTTTCCCCTTCACCCATATGAGGGGGTCACTTTTCCTCATTGATTTGGGAGCATGTCTAACTTCAGTGCCTCAGCCTGGGAACCTGGTACAAAGAAAAAGAAATTCATTTTCTTAAAATTGAGAATAATCATTAACACTTGACTGGAGAATAATCATTAACTATTGCAGTTTATTGTGGAGGGGGAAAATATCTTTAAGTGTATGGTGAACGAGAGGATTAGATCTATAAAAGAAAATTTAACCAAGCATCTTTTGGAACTCTTAAATCCTCTTAAATTAGCTATTTAATTATGTAAATTTCTATATATGCATATGCCATATATATAGTTTATGCTGTACGTTTTAGTGTTTTTAAAAATATATTTTATTGATTATGCTATTATAGTTGTCCCATTAACCCCCCTTCACTTCCCTCCACCCTGCACTCTCCCTCCCACCCACCCACATTCCCCGCCTTTAGTTCATGTCCATGTGTCATGCATGTAAGTTCTTTGGCTTCTACTTTTCCCATACTATTCTTACCCTCCCCCTGTCTATTTTGTACCTACCATCCATGCTACTTATTCTCTGTACCTTTTCCCCCTCTCTCCCCTTCTCACTCCCCTCCTGATAACCCTCCATGTCATCTCCATTTCTGTGATTCTGTTCCTTTTCTAGTTGTTTGCTTAGTTTGTTTTTGTTTTAGGTGTGGTTGTTAATAATTGAGTTTGCTGTCATTTTACTATACATATTTTTTATCTTTTTTTTCTTAGATAAGTCCCTTTAATATTTCATATAATAAGGGCTTGGTGATGATAAACTCCTTGAACTTGACCTTATCTGAGAAGCACTTTATCTGTCCTTCCATTCTAAATGAAAGCTTTGCTGGATAGAGAGAACAATCTTGGATGTAGGTCCTTATCTTTCATGACTTGGAATATTTCTTTCCAGCCCCTTCTTGCCTGTAAGGTCTGTTTTGAGAAATCCGCTGACAGTCTGATGGGAAGTCCTTTGTAGGTGATTGTCCCCTTATGTCTTGCTGCTTCTAGGATTCTCTCCTTTATTTTAATCTTGAGTAATGTAATTACAGTGTGCCTTGGTATGTTCCTCCTTGGGGAAGTTCTCCTTTATTATTTGTTCAAATAAGTTTTCCACTTGTTGCTCTTCCTCTTCCCCTTCTGGTACCCCTTTAATTCAGTTGTTGGAATGTTTAAAGAGGTCCTGGAGGTTCTTAAGCCTCTCCTCATTTTTTTGAATTCTTGTCTCTTCATTCTTTTCTGTTTGGATGTTTCTTTCTTCCTTCTGGTCCACTCCATTGATTCGAGTCCCAGATTCCTTTCCATCACTATTGATTCCTCGTACATTTTGTTTCATTTCAGTTAGTGTAGTCTTCATTTTTTTCATCTAATTTGTGACCATACTCGACCAATTCTGTGAGCATCCTGATCAGCACTGTTTTGAACTGGGCATCTGTTAGGTTGGCTACTTCTCCATAGCTTAGTTGTATATTTTCTGGAGTTTTGATGTGTTCTTTCATTGAGGCCATTTTTTTTTGTCTTGATGTGCCTGTGATGTACTGAGGGGTTGAGCCTTAGGTGTTCTCCAGGCAGGGTAATCCACATCACTATGTTGTGACACTGTATGTGGGGGAAAGGTCCAAGAGGGAACAATGGTGCTTGCTCTGCTCTTTGCTGGATTTCAGTCACTTCCCCTGCTTCCCCCAAGCAAACTCGACCCTTCAGATGCTGATTCCCATTTGGGTGGGCTTGTGTATGTTCTAGGACCCTGTGGGTCTCTCCAACAAACTTTCCTATGATGCTGGGAGTTTCCACTCCTGCTTTGTTTCACCTGGTTTTTCTGTGCATGAAGGTGGGACCACCCTGTCTGACAACTGCTGCCTTGTCCCAAGTCCTCCTAGCCCTGGTTGCCTGACTCCACCCCTCCTGCTGGTCTGGATGAATGTGTCTTTTTTAACTCCTTGTTTGTTGGAATTCCATACAGTTCAGTTTGCTGTCAGTTCTGGTTGGTTTTTGTTTTTAAATTGTTATTGTCCTTCTTTTGGTTTTGCGAGGAGGCACAGTGTATTTACCTATGCCTCCATCTTGGCCAGAAATCCATTTTAGTGTTATTTTAAGAAACCTTCAGCCTTTGGTCCTACAATCTTTAAAGACAGC